GGAGAGATTGAAAAAAGCAAGCCGCGCTCATCGCCGTCTGAAGGTGTCCGCAATTTCTCGGAAGCGAGCCGCAAGAAGCATCGCGAAGGATCATGTGCTACCAGGACTGTGAATCGAACTGTTAGTGAACTGCCGCATATTCTGGCTTCGGAAATTGAAATCAACCCATCATCCAGGGACGGGGGGGGGGCGAGGACGAAGAGGCAGAGGGCGCAAAACAGGAGGCGGTTCAAGACCGAAACGCCACCGATGCGCAGTCACATCGCGACGCTAAAAACTATCCTCCCCAGTGGAGGGCCCCGGGGCCAGATCGCGAAGGCGACGGGGGCGCGGGGGGCGAGGCGGGGGGGGGGCGCCGCAAGATTTCCAAACATCCACGCTCGCGTTTGAATTCTGGCATTTCGGGTGTTTCCGCGTTCAGTTTCCTCCTTCGGGCGTTTGTGCGCTCAGACTGTCGATTCGGGCGCTCCCGTGCTCAGATTGTCGAATCGGGCATTTCCGCGCTCTGATTGTCAATTTGGGCGTTTGCGCGCTCAGATTGTCATGTCGGGCGTTTGCGTGCTCAGATCGTCGATTCGGTCGTTTCCGCGCTCGGATTATCGATTCGGGCGTTTCCTTGTCTGGGTTGCCGATTCGGGCGCGTTGGCGCTCGAACTCTCGATTCGAGCGCTTCGGTGCTCAAATCGTCGATTCGGGCGCGTCTGCGCTCAGAGTGTCGATTCGAGCGTTTCTCGTGCTCAGGCGGCAATTCTTGGCGCGCCCACGCAGAGAAAAGCGAGGCGAGCTCTAAGTGAATTCTGGTTGCGCCCGCTCAGGAGAGCGCGAAATTGAGCGCGGATCGCAGATCTGGGCGCGCTTGCGCGGGGGATTGCGAAAACGAGCCCAGGTTGCAATTCTGGGTGCGCCCGCTCGGGGGAACGCGCAAACGAGCTCAGATTGCAGTTGTGGGCGCGCCCGCTCGGAAGAGCGCCGAAACGGGTTCAGATTGCTATTGTGGGCGCGCCCGCTCGGGCGAGCGCCAAACCGAGCTCGCGCTGCAATTCGCGGCGCGCTCGCTCGAGAGCGCGAACATGAGCTCGCGCGGGAATTTTGGGCGCGCCCGCTCGGGGGGGCGCGAAAACGAGTTCAGGTTGCAATTCTGGGCGCGCCCGCTCCGGGGAGCGCGAAAACGAGCTCAGGTTGCAATTCCGGGCGCGCGCGCTCGGCAGATCGGGGGAGCGCCAAAGCAAGCTCAGTTGCAATTCTCGGCGCGCCCGCTAGGGGGAGTGCGAAGACGAGTTCGGATTGCAGTCCTCGGCGCTCCCGCTCGGGGGAGCGCGAAGACGAGTTCAGATTGCAATTCTGCGCGCCTGCTCGGGCGAGCGCGACCTTGAGCTCAGATTGCAATTCTGGGCGCGCCCGCTCGGGGGAGCGCGAAAACGAGTTCAGATTGCAGTTCTCGGCGCTCCCGCTCGGGGGAGCGCGAAGACGAGTTCAGATTGCCATTCTGCGCGTCTACTCGGGCGAGCGCGACCTTGAGCTCAGATTGCAATTGTGGGCGCGCCCGCTCGGGGGAGCGCGACGGCGAGCTCAGATTGCAATTCCGGGCGCGCCCGCTCGGGCGAGTGCGACAGCGAGCTCAGATTGCAATTCTCGGCGCGCCCGCTCGGGCTGGGCGCGACAAAGAGGCTTGCAATTCTGCGCGCCTGCTCGGGCGAGCGCGACGGCGAGCTCAGATTGCAATTCTGGGCGCGCCTGCCGCCTGCTCGGTCGCGGCGCGTCTCCTCGCGCTTGTGGGCGCGCCCGCCGGAGCGCTGTAGACGATGCGAAAAGCTTTAGTGGGCGCGTTCCTCTGCAGAGGAGGTGGGCAAGTCTAAGCGACCAACTTATTATGTAAACGTGCTCCGCCCTTTCGCGGGGGTCCCTGGGGGTTCCTAGGGTTCCCGGGGGTCCCTAGGGATTCCTGGGCAGTCCTAAGGATTCTTAGGCCTTCTTACGGATTCCTTGGGTTCCTATGCATTCTTAGGGGTTCGAGGTAGTGAGATCCATCGGAATCCCTGTAGGGGCTCCTAAGGATTTCACCGGGGACCTGGGCGGGCAGGGCGTTCGGGCGTGGGCCCAGACGGGCGGGGCGCGCGGCCCGGACGGTCAGGTCGCCACCTAGTGGTAGTACTTGCCAGGTACTAAAGTTCGCCACCCTCGGCGCAAAATTCCATATTGGCCCCGCGCGTCGCGGGCGACCGACTAGGGCGCAAACGTGCCCAGATGCGGAGTGGCGAGCCTTCGCGAGCTCTCTGGGATGGCTGGCCTGCGAAGCAAGAGCGACAACCTTGGACGCATATTTCCAGGGCCACGCCGCATCAAATCGAGAACGAGTACAATGGGGCGTCGACGATGACGAGCATGACATTGACAATATCAAGTGACCCGTGCGGAGTGATTGAGCTGTAAGTGCATCCAAATTCGAATGATTTCCGGGCTTATTGTGTATGGGATGGAGTAAGTATCTCACCGATATATATATATATGTATATATATATAGATATATATATATACACATATATATATATATATATATATATATATATATGTATGTATGTATTGTTACGTGGCACGAGCCCATCGGATTCGGACCGCCCCCTGACCAAAAATCGGACGCTCAGATTCTACGGGAGGGGGGGGGGATCGGAAGGTCCAAAGCTTGACGTATTATAGTCGAAACTTTATACCCCTCGTGTGCTTGTCATTGTAGTCGTAGTAGTAGAGGTAGCAGTAGTAGTAGTAGTAGTAGTAGTAGTAGTAGTCGTCGCATTCGTAGTAGTAGTAGTAGTAGTAGTAGTAGTAGTAGTAGTAGTAGTAGTATAGTCAGTAGTATGTGGTAGTAGTAGTAGTAGTAGTATAGTAGTATGTAGTAGTCGTAGTAGTAGTAGTAGTAGTAGTCGTAGTCGTAGTATTGTAAGTAGTAGTTCGTAGTAGTAGTAGTAGTTGT